TATATAAGTATATATATTTAAGTACAAAGCATAAGTATAAAATAAGTTTTTTATAAGTGCAGCTAAAGCTGATAGGCCAAGAAATGCTTACAATATATTGTAATTAGGAAAGAGTTGGCTTCTGATTGTGATGGTGTGAGTTATAACATCTGTATTGTCTCACCCTTCACATGAGACTGAAAATGGAATAAAAGTTTTGAAAACACCTCTCAGCTACCCCATCTCTGGGTCAGGAAAGGGCTAACCTGACCTGCAGTAACTGCAGGCACACAGGACAAACCCAGCTTGCACTTCCCACACTTTGTCCCAGGGTTTCTCCTGACAAGGAGATGGAGGAGGTGCCAGCCAGGAGACAGCTGGGACACAGCCCAGTGACCCAAGCCAGGTGTCCTGACCTGCAGAGAGCACAGAGCTGGGAATATTCCATCCCAAGGGCTTTTGGCAGCACTGCCTCAAACCACAGCTCCCAAATACCCCCATGGCACGTTCCCTCTGAGCCTTGATTTCCCGATTCCCCTCCTGGGGAACTGCCTGGCACGGTCTGAGCAGTCCCCACCGAGCTGCCCAGGCTCTCTGGGTGTTTTCCTGCTCATGCCACTGCAGCATTCACATTCTTTGAAAAAATCCCTTTGCCCAGGATTTTTCTCCTGGGAAGCTGAGAAGCCTCAGAAAAAGGAAAACAATTTTTATCTCATTTGCTTCTCCTGTGTTTTGCTCACATGTGGAATGTGTTTGGGGATTGTTTACCCACAGGTGATTGTTTCACTGGGTTCTGCTGTGAGTTGTTTTCACTCTTTGGCCAATCAGTGCCAGGCTGTGTCGGGACTCTGGAGAGTCACCAGTTTTCATTATTATCTTTTAGCATTAAGTATGCTTTCTGTATTCTTTAGTACAGTTTAGTATAGCATTTTTTAATATAATATAGTATCATAAAATAAAAAATTAGCCTTCTGAGAACATGGAGTCAGATTGACCATTCCCTCCTTCATTGGGGCGCCTCACAAATAAAATATTCCACATTTCCAGCTGTGTCCCTGGAGGATGCAGGGCTGGGCAGCTGGAGCTGGATCATGCCCTAAGCAGGAGATGCTGTGCTGGGACACAGCTCAAGCCAGAGATCTCCTCCTTCTCCTTCTTCCTGCCAGCCTGGACCTCGCTCCAGAGTCAGGCAAAGTCCTCCTAAGCACAGCCTGGCAAGAGCAGGCAGGGCCTGCAGATCCTTCTGCAGGGCTCTTCCACTGAGGAGTCTTTGCTTCCTTTTTGTTAAGGTTGGGATTAAATGCATGAGATGATATTTCTTGTTTGGACTTAGATGCTTATTAGTTCTTATCTATATTAGAGTTTCACAAATTGTGACTTTATCGTACTTTAAGAAACTAAAAATGGAGCTGTATCTCTCTCTCTCTACAAGGTTTTTAAAGGATAAGCTGCTTCATTAAGAAATAACACTTAAATTATTTTTACTTTTAATAACTACTTGTTGGCTTGCAATGTGGATTTTTTCAATCCAATTACATAATACTGCTCAAACTCATGAAGAAGAAGGTGAAGAAGGACTAGCTTCTGCCTTAAAACTTCTAGATTCCTTTATATATATTACTCTAAATTAGTATTATATTATTAATTGTATATTATTAATTATATTATTAATTATATATTAATATTATTAATTATATTTTTAATTGTATATTATATATTAATAATTATATAATTATATGTGAGATAGTATATATTCTATATCATTATATATTAATTCTATTATCTATTATTTTATATTAATTATAGTATATATTATTTATTATTATATTATAATATATAGTATTATTCTATTATTCTTTTAGCATATATTATTTATTATTATAATATATAATATTATTCTATTATTCTTTTTATATATTATTCTAAAACTCTAAACTATAAGTTTTCTACTGCCTGATCACCCACTTCTATTTAAACCACACACTCTTGATCTTAGTTCTATTATTTAATTTTGGAAGTTTTCTCTGCGGCCTCAGGTCAAATGTAGTGTTTTCTTGAGGGTCAGTGCCTGTCAGCACAGAAAGTCTGAACCTCTCAGTATCCAGGGCTCCAACATTCCAGTTTTCTCAGTGCACAAGCAGCTCCCTGGGGTGAAAGTTCCTCTGGTTCTTCCACTCTCTCTGCCAAAGGGGGCTCGCAGGCCCCAGAGGGGTGTCTGAACCAGAAGAATTGAGGGGCAGGTGCCGTGTGGGACGTCTGCCCTCTGGCCTGGCTCACTGAGGTGTGAGCTTTGGCCAAAACCTGGCCCACTAATCCCATCACAACTCGAGCTGGAGTCCAGCTCTGGAAATACAAATGTGGGAGCAGGTAGGAATGCAGCATTTCTCATCTCTGCAGCCTCCAGCAGTGGCAGGCATCCCTGCCACAGCTCCTGCCTCCTGCCCAGACCAGAGCCCAGCACAGCAGGGGAGTGCAGGGAAGGGATCCAGGAGGATCAATACCTGCCCCAGGCACATCAGGGCTGGGAGATCCCAGGAGGATCAATACCTGCACCGGGCACATCAGGGCTGGGAGATCCCAGGAGGATCAATACCTGCACTGGGCACATCAGGGCTGGGGTATCCCAAGAGGATCAATACCTGCACCGGGCACATCAGGGCTGGGATCAGAGCCCCTGGTCAGCACGGGCTCCTCCTGGTGAGAGCAGTGCTGGGAACACTGCACTGCCCCAGCTCCAGGGAGAGAAAGGAGCCCAGCAAAATTTGCTTCAACAGGAAAAACCTGCTTCTCTTTTCCAGGGAACAGCAGTAACACAGAAGTTTTGGAGGGAGTGAATGCCTCACACCAACACTGTGGAGCAGGGAGTGACTGTGCTGCTCTTTGGAGAAATACGTGACTGTACACATTCATTACCCCAAAAAACAACAGAAAGGAACTGAAATAAAGCACATCTCTCTGGAGAGGATTCCTCCTCTCCCTCTGGATTTGTATTTAATAACTGTGAGTGGGGCTGGGGACCTGAACCAATGAGAAAATGCATTTTCAGGAGATTTCCTCTCCTGGCATGAAATTTCCACACGTACAGGGAGACACTGCTGAGGCTGGCTGTTGCCAGAGGAAAACCCAGAGAGGGACTGACACCACAGAGGCACAAACACCACTCTGGTGAGTGTGGGACTGGTCTGCCTTCTCTTCTCTGTCTGAGCAAGAGCTCAGAGGAGCATTCACATGGATGATGCCCCTCACCTGCTTCAAAGGAAGGGTGTTCCCCATGCTCAGCAGCAGCCCAAGCATACAGCTGAACCCTCTGACACATCTCAGGTGCAGAAGGAACTGCTGCTCCCTGGGCAGGGCCCTTCCAGGCTGCCCTTCCCCACTGTTTATCCTGAGGCTGCTCAGCAGAGCTGGGGCTCGGAGCTTGCCCTAATCAGCAGCCTCCAAACTGCTTCCATCAGCACAAACTGCGGGGAGAGGGTGAGCACTGAGGCAGAAATGAGCTCTGTACCAGGCTGGGAGAGCAGGAATGAGCTCTGTACCAGGCTGGGAGAGCAGGAATTGCAGCTGCCCCTGCCCCTCTCCTGCAGCCAGCACTCGGTGCTGCGAGCACAGCCCGGGCTGGGCTCCCTCCCGAGCACCATCAGCCCTGCAGGGCTCGTTTGGAGCCTCGCTGCTGGGGGGGGAACACTTTGTTCTGGCTCAGAACTCGACACAGGCTCTCAGTGATGCTCCCAGAAAGTGTCCGTGGGCAGGACACTGCAAGGAGCTGCTGGAACAGGCACTGCCAGAGCCCTGCAAGGGGGGGATGATGTCCCCAGAACCCAGATAAGGTCTCCACAGCACAAAAATTTTGGATTTACCCTTCTCTGTGAACACCTTTGAGCCTATTAGGGAAACTTCTAGGATATTGCCCTGGAAGAATTTATCACAGGCTTTGAAAATGCCTCTCACCTTAGGGTGAGTCGAAAGGGGCTTCTCCCATGGTGTCCTGCAGCTCTGTTAATCTGCCCTTTCTCATAAATCACTGCCCTTTGCACTACCCCTGTGCCTCCAAACCATTGGCTCCTGACCCCATACTTAACTGAGGGCACTCACTGTTTGCCCTGGCTTTGTCCTTGGATTCCTTCAGTGTGACTCTACAATAAACCTCACTGGAATTCTGTGGCCATAGCTCTGTTCACAGCGAGCAGCAGGCACAACTTTACCAGTTGTAAAGTTGTGCCTGCTGCTCGCTGCTACAATAAACCTCACTGGAATTCTGTGGCCATAGCTCTGTTCACAGCGAGCAGCAGGCACAACTTTACCAAGGATTCTTCCTGGGGAAGGCAGAGAAAGCTCAGAGAAAAAAGAGAAAAAAATTCTTATCTCTATTCACTGCTCCTGTTGCTTGGCACATGTGGAATGTGTTACGGAGATTGTTTACCCAAAGTGATTTGTGAGTTGGGCACCAGTGAAGGTTGTTTTGATTCCTTGACCAATTGGATCCACGTGTGTTATTACCGTCTGGAGACAGTCATGGGTTTTTCTTTAGTATCTCTTTAGTGTAGTATTCTTTAGTATAGTATCTCTTTAGTATGTAATTTAGTATAGTATTAGTGTAATATAGTATAGCTTAATAAAGCATTTGTTCAGCTTTCTGGAATCACTGGAGTCAGAGCACATTATTCCCCAGCTGGGGGATCTCCTGTTTCTACAACAGAACTCTATACAGAGACCCTTTCCATCTGTTTTTGCTGACCCAGCTATGGTGAGAGTGTGGACTGAGTGACTGTCTGTACTTGCCTGAGCAGCTTTCTCAGAAGATGCTTTCAGGAAAGGTACCAGCAAACACCATCCACTGACAGCAGGCTGCCCTTCCCCTCCTCCAGGCTGTGTGCCTGCACATGCAGCAACCCAAGCATGCACAGACACCCCTGATTTGAGGGGTTTGCTGCCTCCAGCCCCCAAGTTCCACACTAGGAAGCATCTGAGCTCACACAGCTCCAATTTCCCACCCTGCTGCCCTCCCCTGGTGCCATCCTTACCAGCTTGGTTTTGTCCATGGCTGCCAGCACCGCAGCATTGAGCGTTTCCAGGGCAGAGAGCACGTTCCTGTATTCCCCGAGGTACGCTGAGAAATAATCTGCAGCAGGACAGAACACCATGGTCAGGCTCCTGAGCACCTCCATCTCTGCCTGCTCCTGCTCCCCACACTCAGCCCAGACCTGCAAGGGGGAATTCCCTCCCTTTCCAGAATGACTCTCCCACATTGACTGAAATGAAAAGTCCTTCCCTATTGTCCTGGGTCACAAGATGTGGTTTGGGGCTGTGCATTCTGTGCCCATCTATCAGAGCTGGGCAGTTCTCTGCTGTTCATGGCCAGGGAGTGTCCCTGCAGGGCTGATCAAATTCCATCATCCCACTGGGAGATGCTCCGGCCAGGGCAGGAGCCAAGCATTCCTCCCTGGATACAATCTGAGCCTGGAACAGCACAGCAGCCTTTGCCCACTGCATTCCCAGAGGAGCAGCTTTCTCCTGCCCTGCATTGCCAGAGGAAGAGCAGGCCCATCTCCAGCAGCCCTGGAGCTTCAGAGGAAAACTGCAGCCCTGTGCAGGATCCCTGCTCCAGCAGAAGCACAGCTGGCACTGCAGGAGGGCTGAGCCCCCATGGGATGGGACTGTGCCACCCCCCTGACCCACAGCGGGACAGGGCCTGCTCTGCCTCTGGCAGGGTTGTTTTGTATTGCTGCATTTTATATTTTATTTAAATTTTCTTCCCTAGTAAAGAACTGTTATTCCTCTTCCCATATCTTTGCCTGAGAGCCCCTGAATTTCAAAATTATAATAATTCAGAGGGAGAAGGTTTGCATTTTCCATTTCAGGGGAGGCTCCTGCTTTCCTTAGCAGACACCTGGCTTTTCAAACCAAGACACCTTTCCCCTTGGGAAAAGCAGCTCTGTGCTGGGATCCAGCCACAGGGACTTTTGAGCCACCCACTCCTGCCCAGGTCAGACACCACAAGCCCCACCACACACACCCTGGGGAGGAGAAGCTCTCCAGGGCAGGAACATCCCTGACTTACCACACAACTTCTCCGTGTCCACGTTGCTGCAAGAAACACAAAAAAGCTCCTGTTAGAGAGTGGGGCTGGTGTGGGGGAAACAGTGGTGGTGAGCAGGGGTCTGGGGGCTTGTCTTGAGTCCTGGAGGATTTTCATGTTTATGTATTTTCACAGGCTGCATTAGAAAAATAAGGGGCTGCAGAGGTTCAGAGCCAGCAGCTCAGAGCCATTCCCAGCCCCTGCAGCACCCAGGGGCTGATGAAGGAGCAGGAAGATCTGTTCCACCATCTCCTGGAGCTGAAGTGTGCTGGGAGAGCACCTGTGACAACAGGGTGGGGTAGGGATGGAGGTGCCCCACACCCCTGGCTGGCCAGCGGGGTTGGCAGGCCCATTTCTGAACCCTGGAGCTGCTTCTTCAACCCAGCCCCTTCCCCCAGAGGTGGGGAGCATCCAGCCAGGGCTCCCTCCCTGTTCATCCCTGACCTCAGCCCAGGCCCTCCCCATGGCCAGACCCCCTCCAGCTGCTGCTCCTCCTCTTCCCTCCCTCAGAGCCCAGTGCTGTGGGGCTGTCTGCAGGCTCCCAGGGGCTGGATGATCCCACAGCCCTCCAGAGCAGTTGTTCCTGCCCTGAAGGTCGTTAAAGCAGGGACCTGGCTCCAAAATCCTGGAGGCAGGGGCCAGACCCCATCCTTTTCACTAACAGCACTGCACTGCACATTCCCCCCAGCATCCCTGCAGGGCTTGGTCCTCCTGTGGCTGCTAAAGGTGCTGCTGGGGGGGAGAGGGAGGAGGGAATGTTCAGAAACAGCCCCAGGTTTTGGGATGGGTCTGCATGGTGCTGTAGGATCTGCTCAGGTGGCCAAAGCCACGGAGGCAGAGCTGCTCTCCATGCCCAGAGCCTGCAGGGACAGAGCCCAGCATGGCATTTATTCAAATCAGCCTCTGCTCCAGGCCTTCTGCTGCCTCAAAATCCCCCAGATGATTACAACCAATTTTAATCTTGATTGGGAAAGTGGAAGAGAGCCCCAAAGAGAGCTTTTCAAGTGTTTTTTAAGTGTTTAAGTGCTGTCACACATGGAGGAAGTGGCTGTACCTGGAGTTTGCCAGGCTCCCAGCACAAGGAATGCTGCAGTGCTGCTGCCCAGGGTGTGGGAAACACAGCCACATCACCCTGTCCCCCCTCTGACACTGCTCACAGGGCAAAGGAACAAAAACACCCCCACGTAAAATTAGAGAACAGCATGTGAAGTGTCCAAAATGCCATTTAAGGTGAAATAATTAAGGCAAAAATCTTCCTACAGCTCTTCCCGAGACAGCAAAGGCTGTTTCTGTCTCTCCCTTTCTCCTGGGCTTCCATTGAGAGCACTTGAACAGTGGGCAGTGGTTCAAAGCAGGGGATATTTTGGTGTGAGGGTGGCAGAGCCAGGGCAGGGGACTGCAGCCCCTCTGCTCTGGGACTGCAGCTGGAGCTCTGAGGCAGCACGGAGGGGCAGTGTGAGGCTGGGATTCAGCTCAGCTATTTTAAACACACAGCAGCTGATTTAGGCAGGGCTCTGCGCACTGACCTGGCACTGCAGGCACTTTGTAAAGTGGAGAAAAAATCTTGTTTCCCTCGAGACTCAATCCTGATAAACCTGCAAAGCCAAAGCCCCTCGCTCTGCCACCTCCAACTTTGCTGATCCCATCTCTGGGCAGCTCTGCCTGACAGAGCTTGGGGCTTGGGGCACCGGTGTGCACTGGAAAAACATTTTGCTCCTTCTGAAGTTTTCCCCTTTATTTCTGGCAGCTGCCTGGAGCCTGCAGAGCTGCTGCAGTGCTGCAAGAGCCCTGGCACTGCAGCACCCACAGCACAGCCTGCCAGAGCTGGCACTGCAGGGAAACCCTGGCTCCCACCTGAGAGAAGGGAAGGAGTCACCAGAGGGGATGTGGACACCTGGTGCACACATTATATTATCCAGGCATTTGCACTGGTCCCAGTGAGCACTGGGGCTGGGACTGGTTTCAGCAGGAGCAACTCACTGCCATTCCAGCTCCAGCAAGGTGTGACAAGGAGCTGCCATCAGCTCCCACCCTGTGGCTTCTAAGGTTATTAATAACTCTTTATATCTCGGCTGCTTGCTGCTTAACAAGAAATGTTAGCTAATCAAATCACTAAACCACTGAACATCGAACTGATCAACAACATCTCGTGGCAGAAATCCTCCCTCTGGGAGCTGTCCAGGGGAAGATCTGCTCCTTTTCCCCCTGTTCCATCAGCAGCCCTGCAGGGGAGCCTCTCCCATGTCCCCCAGGCTGCAGCAGCCCCGGGCACAGGCAGGGGCAGACAGAGCACAGCAGGCAAACCCCAGGACTGTGGGGCTATTCTCATGCTGCCAGAACTAACTCACACCAAAAACGGGGTGGAGCTCAGGGACAGAATGTGCACACCAAATCCTGACCCATTTTGCAGGGCTGCCAGGGACAGCAGGCTTTCCTCTCTGCCATTCCCACTCCAAGAGAAGAGCCATCCTCGGCCTGCAAAGCACTCATCCTGAGACTCTCCACATTTCCCATAACTGTATTTTGACTGTGCTCAAACCACTGATTAACTGTAATTAAGCCTGAACTGATGATGGAGGAGCTTGTCATCATTATGCTGTTGGGATTTTGTCAGAATGTGCCTGGAATTTATGCAAGAAAACAGCAATCATCTGCAGAAAAGCAGACGGGTTGGTTTTTTTTTTTTTTTTTTTTTTTTTTGTTTGTTTGTTTTTTTGCCTGGCTATCAGTAGTTTACAAGTTCCCCCTTGTTGGCCCTTGGGAAACAGCACATCCTGAGACTATGAGAAAAGGAAATAATTGCGAAAAAAAAGACGGGTTTGTTTTTTTTTTTTTTTTTTTTTTTATCATTTATCATGTTGGGAACCTCCACTGCCATCACAGATCTGGTTTCCAAACCTTTTTTGTGTGACACATAGTGTTTCAGTCACTCTCCATCATCAGGGGCTGGCAAATGCTGCGGAGTGTCTGAGTAAAGAGAGGAGAGGGAATCCACTCAAATCCCTTCTTCCACACAATCACAGGCTTGAGGTTATTTCCACCAAAAGATGTTAAGAGGCACCAGGTCAGCACTTCCATCCCTTGTGGCTCCAGGTCAAAGGCTCTGAGCTATCTGCACCCAGTTCCTGAACACCCTCATGGAAAGATGCATTTTCTAGGCCTTGTTTTTCTCAATTTCCCCAACAGGTGCAGGACAGAAGGACAGGTAAAATCCAAACAGCAATTCCCTGGGCAGGTTTCACAGGGCAGGCATTCAACCCCTGCAATTCTGTATGCAGCTATGGAGCTCTCATACTTCCAAAAACATCAGTCTCTTCTCACCCAGACATTTCAGAGGATGAAAATGCTCTTCTCCAGGAAGATGAACCTTAGTGTGCCACTGCCAGAGCTGGTGTGGAGCTCTGGACCAGCCAAACAAAGCCATGGACCTGCCATTGTACCAGCTGCCATGCAGAGCTGAATTTGGGTTCAACATCAACTTTGAAATGCACAGAATTAAAGTGAGGGGACACTTTATGGAACCATTTTCTGCAATGCAGAACAAGAACAGCCTCGTGTGGAGATGTAGAATGTGAAGTGACCCCAGCAGAGGTGTGTGATGCACAGGAGCCAGCGTCCCACCTGAGAGCCAGAGGGCTGGGAGCTGGACAGAGGAGGGCATGGAAGGACAACAAGAACTGTGGGACACCTCTGAAATATTCATGTTCCCAGCTGTCAGCTCTGGGCCCAGCAACTGCAGGTTCCAGGGAAGGGTGAGGGTCAGGAGGAGTCTGTGCCTGGAGGTCTCTGCTACTGCCCCTCCCCAGGTCAGCCTGGCAGGGATGAGGAAACACAAATTCCAGCCTAGACATGACAAACACAGCACCAAACCCACCTGCTGGATTGAGGGTGAAACTTTCCCATCATCGCAAAAGCTTCAGGACACAAAAGCAGCACAGCAGATCTGCTTGGAGAGCTTGTAGCTGCTTTGTAATACTCTTCAATCTTCCAATTAGGCAGCAAATTTTGGCCAGCTCTCTGAAATATTAACTCCCTGACAGTGCAAGGAACAAGCCCAGGGGAGAAGGGATGTCCAAGCCACCATGGGGACAGCAGGGCACCAGCACAGCCCCCAGACAGCACCAAATCCTGCACTCCCCAAACCCCATGTTTCCTACATTTGCAGGAATTTGCAAACAACTCTGTCTGAGGGTCCCTTCTGCTCTTGGTGCCGGGAAGAGAACAAAGACCCAAGGCTCATGCCCTGCTAACAGATGTCACCAGCTCGATGCTGTCACAGCTGCCCTCGTTAGCTAACGAGCTGGGGGGGCACTGCTGCAGCCACGGCTCTGGGGCAGCACAGCCCAGTCAGGCCTCCTCAGCTGCTCCAGACAGATGGAACAAGCCCTGCCTGAAGGCAGGAGACCTTCCCTGCTCAGTTTTGAGCTGGGCTAAAGCTCCCAACTTCACAGACTCACAGAATGACCAGGTTGGAAGAGACCTCCAAGATCATGGAGTCCAACCCAGCCCCAACACCCCAACTAAGCCCTGGCAGCCAGTGCCACATCCAGGCTTTCTTAAACACACCCAGGGATGGGGACTGCACCACCTCCCCAGGCAGCCATGCCAGAGCTTTATCACTCTTTCCATGAAAAGCTTTTTCCCAATATCCAACCTATATTTCCCTTGGAGCAGCTTTCGCTGCACCCTGTGTTTTCCAGGGCTGTTGTGACTCTGAGATCACCCCAAAATGGAGCAAGAGGAAAGGAGCATTTCCAGAGGGAAGGGAACACTCACTGCAGCTTCCTGGGATCACAGCCCAGAGACAGAGAGGCTTTCAGGAGACACCTCCTGCTGCCCACACCCACAAGCCCAAGCAGCAGGCTCCCAGGAAAGCAGCACAAGGCTGCCCACCCCTGCCCACTCCTCTGCCCACCACTGCAGCAGGAACCAAAGCCAGCTCCAACAGCACTGGGAGCCCGTCGCTCCCACTGCCCCACTCCCGAGTGGGTGATGGCACTGGGTGTCTGCTGTGGTGCCATTTGGTGGCTGTTGGCATCCCAGTGTGACAAGGGCCTGCTGTGCCACTGCCCTGGCTCCCTGCAGAGACCTGGGACCAGTGTGTGCACCTCAGGCTGCCCCAAATTTCCTCACCTGGCAGGGACCTGCGCCGTGGTCAAGGGTGTCAGAGGTGCAGGGGATGCTGGTGCTGGGGAAGCCAAACCTGCCCCAGACTGGGAGGAAGCTGCAGCCCCTTGTGCCCCAGCAGCACCCCAAGTTCTGCACAGAGCCCAGCCATGCATTCAGCAGCACCCAGCTCCTCCCAGTGCCAGCACAGACTCACCCACAGCACCCAGCTGGGCACAGAGACCCCAGTGAGGCCAAAAACACCCAAAAAGCTGGGATGAGAATCCCAGCCAAGCCAAACAGAGCCCTCTGGATAACACCACTCACAAGGAGACCAGAGCTAAACACAATTCCTTCTCCTGCTCTGTGGGGCTTTCTTTTTTTCACAAGTAGCTGCCCTAAATTCCCTGTTACATGCACCAGGCCCACTTGTGTTGGAAAGCAGCTCTTACATAAGAGCCAACCAGTTCCTGAGTCAACAGTGGCAGAGTCTGTGACTTTCTGTGTCCCCACACCAGCACAGGCTCCTGCAGACACACAGCCTGCTCCACGGGCTGCCTGTTCCTGGAGTGCCTTTTCCAAACCACAGCAATGGCATTTTCAGTGCCTGCTTGCCTTTGGAGCTGCAGGAAATCCGATGGCTGCTCTCAAAATGTCTGACTGCTCTCGGCACTCCCAGGGCTCGCTGCTGGTGCTCAGTGGCTCTGAGCACCTGCGTGTGGCAAGAGGTGGGTTTGTCTCACCCTGACTATTTATCACACCCTCCTCCCAGCCTCCTCCCCCTCCAGTCAGGCAGTTTTAGCTTCTCCTGTGTCCCCTCCGTGCCACCGCCGCGGTACTCACTCTGAGTGACGCCTGTCAATGCCACTGAACAACTCCCACAGCTCCTCCGAGCTCAGGATGCCATCAGAGAAATAGTTCTTGAACTCCTCAAATGACAGCTTCCCATCATCTGCATTCAAAGGAAAGGGAAGAGTAATTATATATCTGTGGAAAGCAGCATCCCAGCCCTGCAGGCCGCGTGGGACGGGGCTGGGCGTGTTCTGCATGATAATTACAGCACAGATCTCCCTGAGAGCCTGGCCCACCAGCCCGGCAAAAACACTGGGTGCTGCTGGAATTGCAGGTGGGGATTTCAGCCCTTCCCTAAAGGCCCCATTGCAGCGGCATGCAGACTGTCCAAGAACAAACAGCACACTCAGGGCAGCATCAGGTTTCCATGGAAAGAAAGTGCTCTCCATAGACTCAAGAGCTTTTTTCTTCCTCTCTGTGGAGGACTTCAGCTCCTGGGCTGCATTGTGATCTGCAATAAAAGCATCTCCTAAGCTACCATGAAGGAAAAGAGCCCAAGAGAGTGTGGGAAGGCTCAGGGAAACCACTTGTGATTTTGGACTGCTTGGTTTATGGGTGCTGGATTAAAAATTGGGTAGCAGAGCCTAACTCCCAAATACCAGGGGCTCCAGGGGCACCCAGAAACAGGATCACCCAGCCAGGAGCAGCTGTAAAACCCTGGACTGAGCACAGAGACAGAACCAATCCTGTGAGGGACCGAGCAGAAGCCTGACAGCCCCTGGGCAGGAGAAGGGTTTGGAAGGGGCTGTGTCCCGCGTGGTGCACAGATGGGGAATTGGGGGAGCCCATTCCCCAGCCCTGGGCAGGCTCTGGGATCTAGGTGAAGCAGGAAAGCGTTTTCCACCCTCCCACTTCCAGCCAAAGCTCCCAGTGGGAACGAGCCAGGCAGGGAGGGGGAGGCAGCACCAGGAACAAAGCACTCACCGTTCTTGTCGGCTCGCCGGAAAATCTGCAAGACAAAACACAACAGGGCTCAGCGTGGCAGCAGGGAGAGAAGGGCAGCTGAACAGCGAGCCAGGCAGCACCCAGCACCACGGAAAATCACCGCCAGGAGCTCAGGGAGAAGCCCCAGCTGTTAGGACTGCACAGGCTGCTCCGGGAAATTCCCCTTTGCCAATGATTAAACCCATTTCTTGCCTCTAATGCACAGAGCTTGGCTGAGCGAGCCCGGCACTCACAGCAAGCAGCTTTAGAGAACACACAGGCGAAGCAGAAAGGACTTTGCTACATCCTTGTGATGGCAACTGTTTAATTTTTCAGTCCATTTAAATGAAAGAACATTAGGAATAAACCCAGTCTGTAAAGAAGCACTTTGTGCATCACCAGCACTCCAGCACCTGCACGAAGGAGCAGCTCCTGCCCTGAGCCTTGTAACCGCCCCTCAGCACAGCCCTTCCCCAACACCTCGGCACGCACACTCACTGCAATTAATCATTAATGAATTAATTAATCTGTAACTGCTTCTGCCACAGAGCACAGCTGGAGAGCTGCTCCAGTTCAGGGTCTCAATGCAGATTCCCAACCATGAGGCTTCTCCCATGCCCCAGGAGAAAGCTGGAGCAGCTCAGCCCTGCCAGGAGCTGATTCACCAGGAATTACTGGAAGGTCTGGGGCTGACTCTAGTGAGGAACAGCATCACTTCTGAGGCCTGGCAGCGTTTTCCCAGACCAAAATGTACGAGGTTTTGTCCAGCACACCCTAATGTAGCCAACGACAGAAAATTGTCTGTGAGGCAGCTGTCCTTTATATCCTCCTGGCTGATGAAGAAATCTGCAGGTCTGAAGAAAGATTAGGAAAGAAAAAGGGCTGGGAAAGGAGACAGAACCTCTCTATTCTTGCCCCCACTCCGCCCTCGGAGCAGGCAGAGGCGCCGCTGCCCTCTGCCCGGCTCCTCCCGCAGCGCCCCCGCCAGCTCCGCGCTGTTCCGAGGCCCCGACACTACCCTGAGAAACTGAGGCAAAGCAGGAGCTGCCCAGGAAAACCCCCTGAACTCTGGCTTGCAGCTGGGCAGAGGCTGTTCCAGGGCTGGAGCTCCCTGTTCCTTCCCCGGAGCCAGGAGCAGGAGCAGCTCCTTGGAGGATGCTCCAGCGAGCACAGCGAGCTCCTCCTGCCCCAGGCCGGGCAGAGCAGGTAACCATCCATCCATCCATCCATACACCCATCCATCCATCCATCCATCCATCCATCCATCCATCCATCCCCCGGGATCCCAGCCGGCCAGAAAGGGGGTGGGCACCCCCCGAGCAGCACACAGAGAGCTGAGATGGGACCTGCGGCTCCCAAACAGTGGCGATTTCTCTGGATTTAGAGCAAAGCTTTCTCCAGGTTAATGGGTTCCTTGTGACGTCTCACGACTGCAGGGGCAGACCCTGCCATGGACTCTCCATCAAAGGAGAAGCTTCATCCTGCAGAGCTCTGTGTCATCAGAGGGACAAATGGCTCATGTAATGACACCTCTGTGGCTCCAGGTGTCACAGAGGCCACCTAGCTCATCTCAGAGACAGTCAAGTGTCACCCACACACTTTGAGCGAGGGCAAACATTTCCCACTCACGGGCTGGCCTTGCTCAGCCGGGTTTATCTGCGGGCTCAGAGGTAGAACACAACTTCAGGGGAGATCCCCTGGGGCTGAGGAGGTCTCTAACCCAGGGAGAGCCCACTGTGGCTTCAGCAGGAGCCTCAGCACACAGAGTGGATGCCTCTCCCTCACTCCCAAGCCTCAGTGAGTTACATGAGCCAGTGCACACATGACAGCTCCAAACAAACGTGGCTCAGGCAGGAGCTGTGAGTGCCACCAGGGCAAGGTCACGTCTGCTGCAGAGGCCCCAGCATGGCACAGCCCTGGCATGGCAGGGCTCTGGCATGGCACAGCCCTGGCATGGCACAGCCCCCCGGCATGGCACAGCCCCCGGCATGGCACAGCCCCGGCATGGCACAGCCCTGGCATAGCAGGGCTCTGGCATGGCACAGCCCCCGGCATGGCACAGCCCTGACATGGCACAGCCCTGGCATAGCAGGGCTCTGGCATGGCACAGCCCCCGGCATGGCACAGCCCTGACATGGCACAGCCCTGGCATAGCAGGGCTCTGGCATGGCACAGCCCCCGGCATGGCACAGCCCCCACATGGCACAGCCCTGGCATAGCAGGGCTCTGGCATGGCACAGCCCCCGGCATGGCACAGCCCTGGCATAGCAGGGCTCTGGCATGGCACAGCCCCCGGCATGGCACAGCCCCCGGCATGGCACAGCCCCTGGCATGGCACAGCCCCTGGCATGGCACGCCCCTGGCATGGCACAGCCCTGGCTCCGGCTGCCTGCAGCCAGCCCATCCCTGAGCCCAGGCCCAGCACAGAACCCTTCCATGCTCCACAGGGCCAGCGCTGTCCCCTCCCTGGGCACATGCTCAGCCATGGCTCTGTCCCCAGTGCGGACAGCAGCCTGGGACAAAGCCCGGGGAAGGTGGTGCAAAGCCAGGCTGGGAGGGGGATTAGGTCTGCGTGGGCTGCTGGAGGGCCCTGCAAGGAATCCCGCTCTTACCTCAGAGTGCAGCCTCGGAGGCACAGGGGCACTGCCTGGAGCCCGGGATGTTCCCTCAGCCCTTGAGCTTGTGCCCAAGCAGCTGCAGCCTCACCAGACCGAGGGAAGAAGCACTGAAACAGCATTTATTTATGGCATGAGCCCCACACGTACCCCAGGAAGGACAGAGATTACAGGATTTCTCCCTGTCTGCAGGTCTGGAGGCAGCCGCGGCTGCTGGACAGGCAGCCAGGGACAGGCGGCTGCTGGGGAGGGGACAGCTGCCCTGGGGACAATGCGACATCGACCCGCGGCAGGCTAGACAGGCTGCGGCCAGGCACCAGAACCCGTCCTTCCTGAAGCTCCCGTGTCCCGGGAGGGGAGAGAGCCAGCCCCGGGCAACAGCCTGAATCTCCCCGCGGCCGGAGATGCTGCACAGGGCCATGGCAGCACTGCGGCTCGTACTGCGCCTGCAGCGAAGCGTTCGGGCAAAGCCCTCCTCCTCCTCCTCCTCACTTCTCCCAAAGGCAGGAGATGTGCAAGCAGGTCCCAGAGGAGCAGCAGCCGCCGGGATCTGTGTTGGGCAGCGCTGCCGGGAGCAGGCGGGGCAGGAGCTGCAGAGGGATGCTCGCCCCAACCAGCCTGGGAGCAGCTGGGCACCGGCCAAGTGCCCAGACCCAAAGGTGCAGAGACTAAACTCACCCTGCCAGCTCCGGAGCAAAGGTGGGAGCGAAGGAGTCACAGGGTAGAGGAAGAGAAGCCGTCAGAACCCGGAAAGCAGCTGCTAGCGTTGTTAACATTTCCCATTTTAATTGCTTTAATGACACCCTGAGGGATGGATGTGCGACTCAACGAGTGCCCTGAGGAGCTGAGCTGGAACACAGCTGTCACCACCCGCCCCCTCCTGCCCACCTTCCCTCAGCCAAGTAATTAGTGCGGTTAATGATGCTGGCTGGAGAGCCCGGCAGCCCGAGCCCCCCCGGCAGCACAGAGACCCCGACCCCCAGCTGGCAGCTGCGAGCGGCACCACGGCCGCGCTCCCCAGCGCCTCCCTGGGCATGCCAGGAGGTTTGGGCTGGACCAGACTGGCATTCACCTTCCCAAAGTGCTGCCCGGGATCTGCTGTTCCCCTCCTCGGGGATGGACTGGGGCACGGGGGTGAACCTGGAGCGGGTCAGGACAGAGATGACAGCTGGGACAGGACAGCTGGCACCGACCTGGGCTGCTCAGGTGCCCGGGCACCACCAGCCCTCCTCCTTAACCCCCGCTGGCTTTCTCCTCCTCCTCCCTGCGGCAGGGCAGGGGCAGCACCTCTGTCCCCACATGTCCCTGGTCCACGGGGTGGCTCGGAGCGCAGCGGTGCCGGACCCTCGGCAATGCCAGGGCTCTGTCACCAGGGAGATTTGGGCAGGAGCAGGAGGTGCTCCAGCGGTGGCTCTGGCCCGGGCTGTGCCACTGGCCCTGGCCGGCATGCCGCCGCCTCCCCCGGAGCCCCGGCCCCCGTCACAGGAGGGGACGCGGTGTGACAGGAGGAACTGTGCCAGCATCCCCGAACACAAAGAGTCACCACCTGCATTTCCAACTCCCCCGTGCCACCCACAGCCGCCAGGATGCCGAGGCAACCTCCAACCCGGGTGGAGCATCCTCCTCCACAATCCCGGAGCGTCGGGAGCGGGCAGGGACAGGGGCTGCACCCGGGGGCTGCCGCAGGCAACGCTCTGCTGAATCCCATGGCTGTGAACAGCTCCAGGGAACCTTCCACAGCGTTCCTGCCACACAGCTCCCGCTCCGGGAGTCATGACAGCCAGCTCTGGAAGAGGCGTGGGCTGTCTGCAGCCACCAGAGGCCCAGCATCCAGCAGGAGGACACGACAACATTGCTGAAGCCATCACGACCATGCACAGCTCCGGGCTGGCACGGGCGCATCCCTCGGGCCGGTTCCTCCGGGAAGGAGCCTCACCCCGACGCCGCCCGTGCGGCGGCTCCCCGAGGGGGCACGGCGGCCCCGGGGCTGGGCAGGGTGCGGAGGTCCTGCCCGCGGTACTCACGTCGTGGAAGATGGGCAGCGGCTGGCGGTGGGGCTTGGGGCCGCGATCTGCGGAGAGCAGGCACACGGCCAGCAGCTCGGCACACGACATCATGGTCCCGGCGGGCGCGGGTGCTGCGGGCACTGCGGAGCGGAGCGGAGCCGGAGGGTGCAGCGCCTTAGGGCGCGGTGCGGTGCCCTGGGATGCGGAGCGGTACCGCAGGGCACGGGCTCGGTGCGGTACCGCGGGGTGCGGAGCGGTGCCGTAGGACGCGGTGCGGTGCCTTAGGGCACGGCTCGGTGCGGTACCGTAGAGATGGGCTGGGTGCGGAAAGAATAGCCTCGGTGCGGTAGGGATGGGTCTGGTTCCGTGCCTTAGGGATCAGCTGCGTGCCGGAGGGATAGGTTCGGTTCTGTTCGGTGCTGTAGGGATGGGTTCGGTTCTGTTCGGTGCTGTAGGGATGGGTTCGGTTCTGTTCGGTGTGGCTCAGTTAGATTCGGCAGGGTGGTTCGGCCCGGTTCGGCAGGCTCGGTTCGGCTCGGCTCGGCTCGGTTCGGCTCGGCTCGGCTCGGCTCGGCTCGGCCCGGCCCGGTCCGTGTGCAGGTCGCGCCCCGCCGATCCCGACTCAGCCGAGCGGCTCCGCCGCCCCAGCCAACTTTGGCTCCGCGGAGGGCCCGCCCACTCCACCACCCGATTGGCCACGTGCTGTGATTGACACCAATAACCACCAATAGTCTTGTCGGAGGGGAGAGGGGCGGGCCGCGCTGGCTCCCGGTGCCCGCTCGCCGCCGGGGCGCTCCCAGTTGGACCCAGAGCAGCCCCGTGGGCTCCCACTCGTGGGGTGTGTGACCGTCCCTGAGTGTCCCCGTGTGAGCATTGGTGTCCGTGTGGTCACTGCTGGCCCCGCTGTAGCGCTGGGTGCCTCAGCTGGCCCTGTGGTGGCTCTAGTCTGGTGATGGATGGTCCCACTGTGGTCGTTGTTGACCCCACTGTAGCCCTGGGTGCCCTAAGCGAGGCCCCAGTTGGTCCCAGTTTGACTGTGGGTGGTCCCAGTGTGGTTGCTGTTGGCCCCACCATAGTCTTGATCACACCAATGCGGCCCCAGTTGGTCCCAGTTGAGCCATGGATGTTCCCAGTGTGGTTCCTGTTGGCCCCAGGGTAGCCCTGGTTGCCCCAGATGGCCCTGGGATGCCCCAGTCTGACCATGGGTGGGCATAGTGTGGTCATGGCTGGTCCTGGCATAGCCCTGGTTGTCCCACTGTGGCTCCAGTTGGTCCCAGTTTGACCACAGTGGTCCCAGTGCAGTTGCTGTTGGCCTTGGGATAGCTCTGATTGTCCCAGTTGGCCCCAGTTTGACCACAGGTGGTCCCACTGTGGTTTTGGTGGCCCTGGAGGGGTCCCCTGACACTCAGACTTGTTCCAATGAGTTCCTGGTGGTGCCAGCTCCTCCATGCCCTCAGTGCCAGGCAGCCTTTGCTCCGAGCTGCTCCAGAGCATCATGCCAGGATCCTGGTACCTCCAGAGATGTGAACCCCCCCTGCCCCAGCAGGCTGGGAGACACAAGGAGGAGGAGGAGGAGGAGGAGGGGGAGGAGCTGGAGCTGTCCCCATCCCCTGCCTGGCACAGGCTCTTAGGGGCTTGTGCCTGCATTCCAGAATTTCACTTCCTAAGAAAGGGGCATGAACCTGTTTTTCTTGGATTTTGCAAAATCCCAGGTAGGCTTTGCCTCCCTCAGCACACCTCTGCTTTCACATGGAGCTCTCCAGGACACCCTGATTGCTGAGCTCAGCTCTGCTTAAGCCAGGCTCAGATCCAAGCTCCTTCCCCACCCCAGCGTGACCAACTGCAGCACGTGGAGCTCGCTCACCTCCTGCTCCCTCTGGGATAATGTGCTCCAAGCTGAGCCCACGGCATCACAGCTATTTTTACCATCTCCCAGCTGTTCCAGGTGTGTGCAAGGCAAAAGAGGTGGAAAAAGCACAGCTGGGCCCTGGCAGGGGCATCCAAGGGCTCCAGGGTGCACGTGCACTCACTGCCCTTGGCACGAGGCTGTCCCTGTCCCCAGGGAGGCAGAGAGGACCAAGGGCTGGAGCTGCTGAGCACAGCCATCATCAAATCCAACAGAAATGGGAGCAGGAACAAAACACAGGCAAGGGTTGCAGCAGGGACAGAGGCTCACCTTGCCAGGGAGCATGGAAGGGGCTTGGGTGATGGTAAGGCTCTGCCATGGATCAAAATCCTCCCCTTGGAAGGGCTTCCCACACCCATCTGCCCCAAAAATCCACACTTGGTGCCCAGTGGGATGCCTGGGAGTCAGCATGAGTTTCCATGTGGGAAGGAGCAGCCTGAGAGTGAGGGTGAAGTTCAGGCAAACTGCTGATGGCAGGAGGTAACCGGTGCTCCCGGCTCCCAGAAAGCCACGGCAGGGAAGGGGGACATGGCCCCGGCTGTGGGGGACACCAGGGCTCTGCTCTGCTCCCCAGCACCTCAGTGGGGAGGAATTACAGGGAGCAGCCACGCAACAGCATCCCAGAAATAAACAATGCTGCTCTTCAGCTCCCTGAGTTCCCTCCTCGTGGAGCAAACAGGAGAGGTTTTTGGGAGTGGAAATAGGGAAGGGTGGGGTGGGATTCAGAGGTGGGGCAGGACACCCCTGCTTATAGAGACCCCAAACCCTGCTAGGACCCTCTGAGGGGGGTTAGGTTAAAGGTACAAACCCCTTAGGGGGGCATCTAATGCCACTGCCAGCCTGTCCTGGAGCTCACCTGACCCCCAGATCCCAACCCTACAGCACAGGGCCAGCACACCCCGGGGCTGCCTGGGCTCAGCAGATCCTGCACAGCATTTTCCAGTGCCAGTGGGGTCACCACTGCAGCCCAGGAGCAGCCCAGGCTGGCTGGACGTGGTCCCTGTGGGGTCACACTGCCTGGCAGTGATCTGAGAGCCCAAGGAGCAGGCAGGATGAGTGCGAGGTGCCCATCCCCTGACCGTGCTGCCTTCACCTGACAGAGAAAAGCAGCTTTGCAGCAGATAAATCAAACCAGGCGGTGCCTGGGGCTGCTTCCCAACGCTGCCATGTGCTCTTCCAAAGCAGCTGCCATCAGCTCCCTCTCCAGCCACCCGAAATAGCAGAGGGAAGCCCTTCAGCTGCATCATGAATCATCCTGGGAGGCAGAGTGGTTATTTTTACGGTGCCGTGGCTCACGTGGAGTGGCAATGCAGCCCCCAGGGCTGGGCAGTGCTGCTGCAGGGGGACACAGCCCTGTCCCTGCCGGGGGGGTGGCAGCGCCAGGGGTCCCAGGGGCTCCCTGTGAGGGCAGTGTGATGGTGATGCCATCAGAGAGCTTTGCCTTCTCTCGGGGAAAGAGGCAGAGCTGTGCTGTTGCTCCTGGGAGCTGGCTGTGGGAACAGCCCTGTGGAGCTCGGGATGTCAGTGCAAGTCCTCTCCCCTCTCCCTGTGCCCCCTGGCTCCCACAAAACCATTTCCTGTGCCGGGGTCTCTCCCCTTTGCAGCACTGCAGATCACCATCACCATCAGCTTCCATCACCACGGAACTCGGCAGAGGAGAGGAGGAGGGATGGCTGGGGAGGGGCTGGCAGCTTGTGAGCACCAAAGCTTTTGTTTTCAGGTCTGCCCAGTGGACGGGCATTGGAGGGGACCTGCCAGGAGACTTGCAGGACTTGACAAAAGATCACACAAGACTGGTCAGTGAGTACTTTGTTATTGGGGACACTGCACACACACCCATGGGAAAAAGAGCATTCCCTGGCGGCAGGCAGCTTTTATACCCCGGGGATGGGGACAGAGGAAGATGTCTACAGCCAGTGGGACACCAGTGAGGAGTGGCAAGGAGAGGGGTAACCCAGGGGAGAGACCACCAGGGGGGACTGGGGTGGGTGAGGCAAAGACCACCTGATGGGGGAAAGGGATAACAAACCATGTGATACAGCATAAGCTATGCAGGGCAATATAAACATTACTCTGTGCAAATTCCCAATCAGCCAGTGCAAAAGAACAACTAAATAAACTAGTGCACCACAACACTGGCACATGGCCGGGCTGGGCACCCTGCAGAAACTCAGACACCTCAGGGGACAAACAGCAGCCCTGCAGAGGAGGACACGGCAGGCAGGGGCTGTGCCCTCCCACCTGTCCCTGTCCTCCTGCCCTGGCTCTGTGGGAAGGAGTGCCATGGATCAGGGCAGCAGGAACAGTTCCAGTGTCACTGTGTGGAAAAGCCCGTTTGAAGGGGTGGCAGTGTGACAAGCCAGCTCTTCCCACCCAGGCACAGGGGTCACCTGTAGTATTCAGCACAACCCCTGTGGCAGGGAGAAACGACGAGGAGGACTCCATCTTATCAGAAGGCTAATGAATTACTTTATTATTCTATATTATTCTATACTATATTACACTATATTTTAACTGAATTTGTACAAGCACTTAATTGTACTTCACTGTTCAGAATTTTGTGACTGTCAGCTGACAGTTTTGACACACACACACACATGGATTTAATTGGTTAATGAATTCAAATACACTAAAATTTAATTACTAATTCTCTTTAGGTAAATTTTTCACAATACATTTGACTTGTGAACAACACAGGAGCAGTAAAGGAGATCAGAATTATTTTTTTCTTTCTTTGAGGTTCAGAGAATGTAAATTCCAGAAATATTCTTGGGAAGTTGTGCCTTTTTCTCTGTGAAGAGAAATGCAGTGACAGCCTGTGTGTGACACCACCCTGCTGGGCACTGGTTTGGAGATGGCAGGGCCCTGGCTGGCCCTGCTGCCATGCTTTGGATGCTGGGAAAGCTGGGAAAGGGAATGGTGTGCGGAGCTGAGCCGTGGGGCTTGGCACCCCACACCTGCACCTGCACCCACACATTCCCAGCTGTGAGAACAATCCAGGGGCAGCACAGCCAGCCAGGGACTGCCCCAGCTGTGGGAAGAGAGGCACACGGATGCAGGCAGGAGGCCAGGCAGTGGTGATGGGCTCCCTGTGGCACCCAGCAGCCTGTGCTGAGCCTGGGATCCCATTGCCTGCCGCTGCAGGAGCGGGGTGAGTTTACACAACATGGTCAGGGTGAAATATTTATCAGGCTGTTTAAAGGAAAACCAGGCAGGAGGCTGGGCAGGAGGAGGGGAGAAAGTGCACAAACACGGGCAGGAAGTAGCATGGCCCTGGCTGTCACTAGGGCAGGGGACACAGCCCTGCTGAGCCCCTCCTGGCTGCCAGGGAGCGCCTGGCAACTCCCAGCACCCCAAAGCCCCTCAGTCCTGGTGTGCTGCAGAGGGATCAGGGCACGCAGGGTCAGGGCTGCTGCTGGCAGACAGCGTGTCCCAGCCAGCAAGGACACAGGGACCTCGAACTTTGGGCCGGAAACTGCTGCCAGCAGGTGCCTTGAGGCAGCACCAAGAGCTGGGTGAATGGGGAAAGCTGGGAACTCAGTGGATGGAGTGGCTTCACACTGGCCCCGTGCTGCAGCCACAGCCAGGAAAATGCTGCCAGGAGAGGAGCCAAGTGAGGACAGGGGCTGCTGAAAGGAAAGCAAACCCCATCCAGACCCACCATCCCATCCTCCTGCAGCACAGCCTCTTTGGAGGAGCAGGGAGGGAAGGATCAGGCCCAGATCCCACCCTGTGTGGGACCAAGGACCAAAGCACCTCTGGCAGCCCCAGGTACGAACACACCTGGTCATGGATTTCAAGTTCAAAGTGGAAAACAGAGCACAAAAGAAGCCCAAACCTCCCTTTCTCAGCAGAGGTCCCCACCACCCCTCACACCCCCAGCACCTGAGCACAGCCGAAGGGCAGAGTCAGTAGAAACCTTTATTAAACACAAAGCTCAGAGGAACACAAGCTTGTTAAATGGCAGTAAAAGTGAAAGTGCGTCTCCAGCTCGGCCCAGGGGGACCCCAGGACCCCCCTCCCCTCCTCTCCCAGCCCCAGTGGCCTGGGATGGGGAGCCAGAGCCGTAAGGCTGAAGGGCTGCACAGGGAGGGGAAGGAAAGCCTGGAGACAGCGTTGGGTGCTCACCTGCAGAGATGCTCCCCCTGGACACCTCTGTGACCCCCGAGGGGACACGCACACGGTGCCAGGGCCACCAGCCCCACCCAGCCCCGTCCCCGCTCCCGCAGCCACCTGCCACAGCCGTGGCCTTGCCAGCCCCGTTCTGGACACAAGCAAAGCCAGGGTGTGCTGGTGAGACCCTGGTGGCACCCTCCACGTCCCACCAGCACTGTCCTCCTGCCCCCTCCATGTCCTGGGAGAGCTCCACACGCCATAAATAATAAATAAATAACCCACGCTCAGCCAGGCTGTGGGCAGCCCCCAGGCAGGGGGACAGCCCTAACCCAGAGCCCCCCGCATCTCCACCACCCCCTCCCAGCACAACAAAAACTCTCAGCACCCCCACTCTGCTGTACAGCCCACCCAAACCCCCATGGAAATGAAACGCTGTCCCCAGGGGACAATAATAAATTAATCAAATCAGTAATCTATACACAGGACTGCTTAAAGCTCTGGAACGGGCTCCTGGGGGGCAGTGGCTCTGCCCTGGGCAGTCGCCCCTGATCAGGGCCCTACAGGGGGGTCCCCCGAGATGGGAACCCCACCCTGGCATCCTCTTGTGGGGCTGGAGCTGGGGATGCCAGCGGGCTGGAGGGATAACGAGAAAATATTGCAAAAAGGGATGGGGGAGGACCGGCGGGCACTGGAGCCAGAGGGGCAGCCCTGCCCTGCCCTGCCCTGCCAGCGCTGCCCCCTGCCCTGGCAGCTCCCCCAGGCACCCGGGCGGGCACAGCTTCAGAAGTCCAAGGGGGTGAAGTCCCCAAAGTTGCAGTCGAAGAGCTCGCTGATGCCCTCGCCCTCCTCCAGCCCAAAGTGATAGTCCTGCGCCTGCGGCGGCGACAGGTTGATGAACTCATCGGCCAAGAAGCCCGCCAAGTCCTCCCTGCTCTGCTCCAGCAGCATGTCCATGGAGGCCAGCGGGGACAGGCTTACCTCCTCCTCCGGGCTCTTGCCGGGCAGCGCGCTCGGCCCTGGCAGCAGCGCTTCTGCAGGGATGGAAAGCAGCTGTAAATCCCGTCCTACTCTCCAAAGAAACTCCAAAAAAAGCTTTTTTGGCTATGGAGATCCTGCCTTCCTACCCCCCTGCCTTGCTGGGGTGCCCGAGCAGCATGCCAGCTCCTTGCTTGTGCCAAGAGCAGAGGGGCTGAGAGCCACCGTGACATCCCACCAGCTCCTCCCTCATGTCCCCAGGCTCCTCATGTCCCTAGCTCCCTCGTGTCCCCAGGCCCTTTGTGTCCCCAGCTCTCTCATGTCCCCAGGCCCACCTTGCTCTCCAGGCAGCAGCGGCATGTTCACATCCTGGGCAGGATGCAGGAGCAGGGAGGCTCTGGGCTGTGAATGGCTGGGAGAAGAGTCCTCAGCAGGGGCTTTGAAGGGGCTCTTGACAGGACTGCAGACCCCCGAGCTGTCCTCGGGGCAGAGGAACACATCGATGGGGCCCTGAGTGCTTCGCACGGAGACCTGGAACGCCTGGGGAGGGGACAGGAGTGAGACGAGGTGGCACAAGGACGCCCAGGGAACACCAGGCTGTTCAGGGAGGGCACAGGAGGAGCAGAGCGTGACCCCAGCTCACCTCTGCTGGGTCTGACACCTGCAGCTGGGTCTCTGGGGGGGCTTTGATAACCATCACCATTTGCTCCACGGGGTCCACAATGCTGCGGAGGTCCTGGCAGGTGACGTAGGCTGCGGTGGGGAGGGTCAAGGAAGGGACAAGGGGATGTGGGCAGAGAAACACCCTGCCTTGTGACACCGGGGCTCAACCACAGCCGCCACCCAGCCAGCCCCGCCCAGAACCAAAGGATATTGCTGGTTGGCGGGGTCCTCGGTGAGCAGGCGCAGCTGCACCGTGCACATCTGGATGAGGTCATCCAGCTGCCGCTCGGCCGCCTGCAGCTCCCGCAGCTCCTTCTCCAGCAGCCGGTGCCGGCCTGGCGCTCCCACGGTGGCCTGGCTGCCCCTGGGGAGCACCGTGCCCATCAGGAGCCAGCCCCCACAGCTTCCTGTGCCCCACCCAGGCCAGGCCACATCCCGCCCCACAGCCAGGGAACCAGCCCGGCAGGGATTTGCAGCAGACCACTCCCCAAGGCTGGATGCAGCCCCCCCTCCCCTGGATGACATGGGGAGCCCCAGGGGGACTCGCAGGAGCTTCATGCCATTGAGCACAGCCCTTCACACAGGGGGCCAGCACTTGGCCTGCAGCAGAAGCTCTGGTGACCCCACCCTGAAATTCTCCATCCGAGTAAGACACTCCTCCACCCAGACAGCTTCCCCACCCCAGGAACAGCCAGGCACAGCCCCATGAGCCCAGGGACATACAGCCACTGGATGTGGTTCTTGGACTTCTTGGTGATGAGCTGTATGCCCTCCAGGACGTTGGTGATGTCGTAGATGCGCCTCTTCTGCACCTTCAGCACCTCGGCCGCCCAGTTGAGGTCCACCACACCATCTGGGGACTGGCTCAGCAGCTCCAGGAAGCGCTTGGTGGTGAGGTTCAGGGAGGTTTCATAGCGGGACTTCTCTCCAGGAGACTTTGCCCCTGCCAGACATGGGGGACAAGTGTCATTCAGCCACAAGGGAAACCCAGAGAAGAAGCTGAAAGGTCTAACTCCTGCCATGCTTGCAAGTGGCTTGTGACCAAAGCCAATCTGTTTTTTCAGGGCAATGGAGTGAGCTGCCCAAATACCCTGCAGGAAGGATGTTGCAGCAGCTGGCACATGCTGTGACACCTGTGCTCCGTTGTGACCACAGCTGTGACTGAGACTCTGAGTGCCAGGCAGGGCTCGGGGGGAGAAAATAGCAGGTCCACCTGGGACACTGCACTGACACCATGCTGGCACCTCCAGCTCCATCCCACAGGGAGGGACAGAGCCAGTGTGGTGCCCAGCAGAAGGGCAGGACAACCGTGCCACCAGCACCGGGCACAGCAGTGAGTGTGGAGAGTGGACAGAGGCAGGCCAGCCGCAGGGACAGCCCATCCAGACCGACACAAAGGGCCTGGAAGAACCTGCCAGGGATGGCAGGAGAGCAGAGTGGGGGTGCTGGACCTCTGCTCTGAGCTGGGCTCACAAGGGGGGCGGAGGGAGTGGAGCTGATACCTTTAGCAGGGTTCCTGGCCTTGCCCCGGCTCACTGGCAAACTCTCTGCTATGTACTGGTGATCCGTCTCCAAATTCAGCTTCCTCTTCACCTGCAAGGGACGGGGTCAGCACAGGGACAGCCACCCCCAGGCTGCACTGCTGCTGAAGGTTTCTGTGAGGAACCCCCAGCACTGTGGGGTACAGACAGCCCAGATCCCGGCAGCAGGGGGGTGACAGGAGCTGTCACACACGCCGGCGGGGATGGGGGGCTGTCCCAGCCGCGGGGGCCCTGCCACGCTGCGGGCAGCGCCCCAAAGCCGGCGTGGGCCGTGGGTGGGGAGGCAAAGCACGGCCCGGTGCCCGGGCCTGCGGCTTCCGGAGCGGCGGCGGGGCAGGGCCGGCCCGGCAGGTGCTGCGTGGCACGGCCCGGCCGTACAGCCTGGCACAGCCGGGAGCCCCGGGCACGGGCTGGCACGGAGCAGGGCACGGCACGGCATATGGCACGGCACGGGGCACAGCAGGGAGCAGCACGGCCCGGCCCGGTATGGAGCACTGTCCGGTATACAGCACGGCTCGCTGTACAGCCCGGCTCGGTACGGCACGGCTCGCTACACAGCACGGCCCGGTATCCAGCCGGGTCCATTGTACAGCCCGGCTCCGTGTAGCCCGGTCGGGTATACGGCCCGGTCGGTACACGGCCGGTTCGAGACCCAGTACTGCACAGCCCGGAACACAGCCCGGGCCCGCCGGCCCCCGGAGCCCCCGCCCGGCC